GCTTCCTTCTGCTCCGTGTCTCCTCCCTCCCACGCCCTCCTCACCTGTCTCGTTAGTTCACAGACCTGCTCACACTTCCTCCACTGGTACGAAGACTCCACCTTTCTCAATGCACTCTGAAACCTCTCCCCCTCCTGAGCCGGGTCTCTCTAATCCTCCTCTCCTTCCTCATGGCTGAGCAGTGCCATGGCCTCAGCTTCCATGCAGACCTGGAGCTCCCTGGACCAGGTCACCGGGGACCCTCCCTAGCAGACCCTGTCTCTTTCATCTCCTCCTCTGGCCTCAATTCTCCATGCCATTCTCAGAAGAAACTATTTGACTTACCTATTTTATGAAAGAGAGAGACACACAGACAGACACAAGGACCCCGGGCATGGCTGGTCACACCGCAACCCCCACAGCCAGCAGGGTCATGGGCACACCACCCACGTTCAGGCTAACCCAGGAACCGAACCCCTGGCCTTCTCGCGTGTCTCCAGCATCACTCAGTGGACCCCCACTGCCTGCACTACCACGGCTGGGCCAGAGGAACTTTTTAAAGGCAAATCTAACCAAACTCCCCACCCTGAACTGCTTCAGTGATTCTCCTCCATGACTGCTGTGCTTGTTAGCCCAGGACAGTGTCAGAAACTTGGAATACGAGAGCTTTATCTCTTTTACTGTCCATCTCATTTCCCCTCTGTGTCATGCTGCTTCACCTGTTTCAGTTTCTCTTGCCCTTAAGGCACCCAGATTTACAGTCCCTACCTAAAGAACAAAGTCGAAGGCTGGCAGGTAGCATGGTGGTTAGGAGCACTGGACTCCCACATGGCCAGTCGTGGTTCAAGTCCTGGAACTGATGGCTTGCTTTCTCACTCCCCCGCCCACTTGTCCCTCTCTGGGGACAAGTTAAAATAAATAGAGTTAAATAAAATAATTCTTAAAAAAAAAAAAAGAAAAGAATAAAGTCTCACAATACTTCGAGTCTTCCAAGCATGGCCTGTAAGTACACAGAGATTTGCATGACTTTTTAAAATGAGGCATGCCTGTTTGCTGGAGAAACAGAGAGACAGAAAGCAAGAAATAACCCTCCACCCCACAGAGGGGTAGCCACACTGTAATCCCTTTTCTTCCATTCTCCTCTTGGGATCTCAGGCATGCACGCATACAGGTTTGAGTTTTAAGCTGCCAGGTCCAGGACTTGAACTGTGGTCGACTACATGGGAGTTACGCCATCTGCTGGTCCCAGAGATTTGCGTGATGTTTAGTTTTAGTTTAAATGCCCATCTCGGGACCAGCAGTTAGCGTAATGGCTATGTCTCTGGACTCCCACGCAGTCGACGGTGGTTCGCGTCCTGGACCCAGTGGCTTAAACTCACGCCGGGCGCGTGGGGGTGCGTGCTCAAGATTCTGAGAGAATGGAGGAGGAGGGATTGCGGCGTGGCCATCCCCCCTGGGGGGTGATTTCTCGCTTTCTATCTCTCTGTCTCTCTCTGTCTGGCGAGCGCACGTGCCCTATAGCAACTTATAAAAAATTAAAAAAAAAAAAGTAAATGCCCATTCTCATCCATTTGACTACGTATTCCTGAAGAACAGGAACCAGTAACTCTGAGTGGGTGCTTCTGTTCCTCCCCTCTGACAGAGAAGGGCCTCAGGCATTGCTCCTTCCTCAGGAAGCCTTCCGCAACCTCCTGACCTAGGTCAAACCTTGCTTTCCACATTCTCTTAGCGCCATGTCCCTCTGCAAGCCATCAGTCAGCTTTAGTTTACTCCACTCCTCTCATTAGACTCCAGGCACTGCCCCACCTGTCTAGGTCCCCCAAGGCATCCCAGCATCTAGGCCTAA